CTGCTCTGTCCGCTCTGTCCGCTCTGTGCTGCTCTGTGCTGCTCTGTCCGCTCTGTCCGCTCTGCTCTCATTCTGTTCCAACTTGCACTGTCGGCTGCAAAGACACGAGCACTGTGTGGATTACTGCTCATGCTTCTCTAGATATCTATATCCCACAACCACACTGATTTTGTTTAGACTTTGTCACAATTAAAAGGGTCATTTTCAGCAACTGATTCTTTTTGTTGAAAATGAAAACACTTTCTTTTATTAATATTTGTTTTACATTTAATTTGTTGTAGAAATTGTAGGTGTATTGTTTTTGTACTATTAGTGCTTAGCATATTTTTAATTAATGCTTTTCTTAGTTCATATCTTAGATCTTATTACTGTTTTTCTGTTACATTTTATACTTTTGTTGGATGTAACTGGGACCCTGTGACCATAGTTTTGTTCCACCACATGTCGTGCGTATGACAAATAAAGAAACTTTGACTTTGATAATCTCTGGGTGCTGTAGTTATTACTCTTAAAGACAAAATAATTTACATAATTTTTTATGCACAGGAAAGATCCACCACTTGCTCTCATTTCTCCCCTCGCTCCCTTCTTGACCTCTCTTCTCCAGTCAGCCATGATTTTTGTTAAAATAATATAATTTTAAGTTATTCCATGCTTTGCTTCCCCGTTATTTGTTATGGTCCTTCATGTGCTCAAAAACAGTGTGAGATCATATGGGTGGAGCAGTTGTCCCGGGGGCACAGCCATAGTGTTGGGGGGTTGCCAGTTTCTGGTTGCTTTGCCTCTACTGGCAGATAGTGCGTAAGTACCCACCATCCATGTTCTCTGAAGACTAGGGTTGAGCTAGTTAGTTTATGGTAGGCAGTCAGAGGGGAGGTTCGGGTTGGTCATGCAGATGATCAGCAATTTACTCTTTAGACTTTCCAAGACACTGTTTTGCAACTGTTAAGAAGTTAGCCATGTCTGTTGAAGGTCCCCGCCTTTGGCCACTGCCCATGGCATCATGCACCCAACTTGTATGGCCCTTCCTGCAGGTGTTGAGCCCACAGGAAGGCAAACCCATGTTTTCAGTGGAATTTTTGGAGCAGTGTTCTTGAGAACAACTGGTACAGATTGCTGAGCACTATAAAATAGGTGTTGGTGACAAACAGTTGAAAGAAAATGTTTTAGCAATTTTAAGGGAGAATTTAATTGAAATAGGTGTTTTGAAATTGCCTTCAAGACCTGGTGAGTTGGGTTCTCAGGTTGTAAACCTTAATCTTTTGGATTTTGAACAAAAGGAGATGTTAAAGTTAAGAATAAAAAGAAAAATAGCTAAATCTATTACAGTACTGTACAAAGAAAGGGACTTATTGAATGATAAAGCTCTGTATGTTGTATAACGCGATAGTTGTTCCACACTTAATCTATTGTATTGATGTTTGGGGGAGAGTGTATAAAATACTTACAAATCCTATTTTTGTTTTCCAAAAAAAGTGCTGTAAGAATTATTACTAGAAAGCATTTTAGTCACCCATTGTCAGGGTTTTTGACAGAGCAGGGCAGGAGTGAACCCAATAATACAGGGAAAGAGTCAGGACTCCAGGATTTACAAAAATAAATGCTCTTTTCATTATTATTATTATTATTATTATTATTAATAATAATAATAATAATAATAATAATAATAATAATAATAATAAACAAAAAAAGGGAATCAGACTGGCAGGACAGAACAGGACAATACCCAACGAGGATAAGACAACGGACAAGACTCACTGACAGGCTTAAATACACAGACGACAGGACGTGATTACAAACAGCTGAGAACAGAAGGTGCAAATAATCAGGAATAATGAGACACACAAGGGTGCACAGACAGGGAAGGCCCACAAGATGGCGCCATCCCTACACCCATCAAGGACTTTATTTTATGAACTGAAATTATTGAAGTTCCATGATTTGGTAGATTATAGTATTTTATCAGTTATCTACAGGGCTCATAATAACACATTACCTTTAAATATCCAAATAAATGTTGTTAAAAGAGAAAGTTGTTATAATCTTAAGGGGATAGAGATATTTGTGAAACTGAAATACTGAACTAGTTTGAAGGGACGGTCGACCTCAATCCAGGGAGTTGGATTGTGGAATGTTCTAGAGAGTGATGTGAAAAATGCCAAATCAATGTGTACATTTAAGAAAATGATCAAAGTTGAATTGTTAATAAAAAAAATGAAGTAGCTTAATGTGTATTGTATAAATAGTCGTTCAAGAAGGAGTTATTTATTTTGTTTCTTGAAGATTATTATTGTTTGAATTAATTGTTTGGAAAAAAGGGGCAGATTTAATAAGATTTTTTTCTTCTTTCTGCTGCCTTTCATTTTTATTTTTCATTGTATTTTTGATTGTTTATGGAATTGTTTTGTTTTGTTTTTAAAAAATGAATACATTTATAAGTAAATAATAATAAAAAGAATGCAGCTGGAGAAAGAAAAGCCGGTGGCAGTGGAGAATTTGCGACAGCAAGCCGGTTTGGAAAAGGCTTTGGAAAAAATGAGGCAGCAAACTGAATTAGCAAGACTAAACTTAGAAAGTGAGATATTAACTCTGATAAAAACGGTAAACTCTTACTGTCTGTGGGATCTCGTATTGTGAACTCCAAATGTAAATCCTCTGATATTTGAAGTGACTTGCGCTTGGTGCCAAGTTTAGTGAACAGGATGTTGAAACTTTCTTCACTTTGTTTGAGAGGGCTGCAGAGTCAAGGGGCTGGTCTGATTCAGATCGATACTCAAGGCATATGAATTGGTCCCTGGGCCATACAGGCAGAAGCTTTAGGAACTGGGAAAATGGTGACAAAACTTATGCAGAGTTTGCAAGAGATTTAGAGATCCATTTTAATCGGTGGTGCACTTCCTGTCAGGTTAAAACACTTGACGACCTCTGTAATTTAATGGTTCTGCAGCAATTTAAGAACTCTGTTTCTGAACGAATTGCAGTGTATATTAACGAACAAAAGGTGAAAACCATTTCAGAAGCTGCAGTGTTGGCTGATGACTTCATCTTGACACATAAAGATACTGGGGGAGAGCAAACGGATTAGAAGAGTGCTCCAAATGATCATTTAACACGTTCTGGTGGTTCCTTTTCAGACCGCAGTAACCGTGATCTGGACAAAATTTGTAATTATCGTCACAGAAAAGGTCATTGGAAAAAAAGATTGTGCTATGTTGAAATCAAGAAAGAAAAATAGATCTCAGGTTAAACCAGTAGCACTTGAGGCATCATCTTCTTTAAATGTTCCAAAGAAACTTACTGAAGTGCCGTTAGAAGAGAAACCTGATACGAGCGCCTACAAACCATTTCTTATGGGAGGACAAGTTTCTTTAGTGGGAAGTGGTGTTGAGGTGCCAGTTACAATCTAGAGAGATACTGGTGTATATGATTCATTCATCCTGGCATCTGTTTTGCCTTTTTCAGATGAATCCAACACCTGATTATCTATACCTGTGTTGGGTATGGGCATGTCTGTGTTGTGTTGCAGTGCATGAGCTCATGCTCCATTCAGAGATGTTCGATGGGGAAGTAAAAATGGGTGTTCGACCCGTGGATGGTGTAACAGTGATATTGGGAAATAATAGACTGTAGCTGGAGGAAGAGTCTGGCCTGGTCAACCAGTGTCCAGTTGTTATTTCAGTACCTTTGATCAGCAGTGGCCCTGATGGAAATGAAAAATCTCACCGTGAAGTTTTTACAATCATGTGCTGTGACTCGAGCAATGAAAACATCCAGTGCTGTAAATGTGGATGAAGACGAGAGAAAAGAGAAACAGCTGTCCTCTTTTTGTTTTTCTAATGTCCCTTTGTCCATTTCACAGACTGATCTGGTGCAGGACTGCATTCAGGACTTGTTTCAGTCTGTTTTACCTGCTGAGGAGATGCAGAACTGTGCTCAAGGATACTTTGTTGAAAACCAGGTATTGTTAAGAAAGTGCGTGCCACGTGGTGACAGTATTATTGGGGAGAAAATGTATCAGGTAGTTGTGCCTTTGAAATTGCGTGACTTGATTTTGTGTGAATCTCATGATGAGTCCAGACGCAAAGGAGTCAGGAAAACCTATGACCGCATTTTGAAAAATTTGTTTGGCCTCGAATGAAAGAAGATGTTTCCTGATGCATGCTCAATAATCCAGGTAGAAAAATCTAAAAAAGTTAAATCTGGTCCTCTGGACATT